GAAGGGCTTTTCTCACTGTGTTGAAAAGTGCATTTATTAGGGGACCCATTTCCAAAAGTCATGACTCTCCTAGGGCTTGTGACAAGGATGCAGGAGCAGAGGAAGATGCTCACTTTACCACGAGTCCTGTCTCTGCACCCTGCCCCACCAGTGGCTCTCCCATGTTCCATCTTTCAGCTACGCAGGGGCTGTGGAGGCCAGCCGCTGAATTAGCATTTAACAGGTTAAGGTGCCAAATACTCAGATTAGGATAAACTATAACTGGGTTTGGTGATAGAAATTATTTGGCTGTTTGTAGCCCCTTGTGATTCCATGAAATTTTAGGATGAATTATTTATTTCTGAAGAAACTGTCATTGGGGTTTTGAGATGCTTTTTAAATTTTTTTTTTTAAATCTATAGATCACTTTGGGTAGTACTGACTAACATCTTTCTCCTTTTTATTTCTTTTTAAATCTCATTTTTAAAAATTGATGTAACCACTTACCACATTTTCTGGTTTATTTGAAAAGGCAATTCTCAGCGTTTTAAAATTTATGGTGTCTCTCGGAGAGCCCGGCAAGCTACCGAGAGTATTCGATATGCCAGACACAGTAACAACAAAGTCTCCAATGGAGACGTTACTGGGCCCGCTCGAGCAAATCGACCATTATGATGTACTATATACAACCAAGCTCCTAGAAGAGAACAAGTCCAAGTCTTCTGCCCCCGTGCCTGGCTGTCCTCACTGGGGCCCCTTGGAGGAGGGCGGGTTGAGTTTCCCTCTCCGCCCTGAGCAGAGCCCTGGCAGCTGAAGAACTCTGGCACCCAGACAAAGCCATGCTGAGGCCACTCTCCACACACTTGAATGAGCTTCATGCATGAAGGAACCGGCAGAGGAACCCAGGTGTGCGGGATCCAGGGCTGAGATCTCCAAGCCTGCTCAGATCGGGACTGGACCTCCTCCACCCAGATCCCCCACCTTCCAGTAGCTAGATAGTTATACCCACCAACTGCTGTGTAACCCCATCAACAGCCAGGATCCAGAGACTATACAACCAAGCTCCCAGAAGCGCGCGGCCGCGAATTTTTTTTAGACCTCTTATTCTCTAATTCTCGCTCTCAGAGAACCCGGCAGGCTACTGAGAGTATCATGCCCACATATATGCCTGACTGGGAACACCTGTAAAAGGTGATTAGCGACTGCCCCAAAAGCCTCCATACCTTTCAGAGAGCCCGGCAAGCTCCTGAGAGTATCCTGCCCGCACGGCAGAGCCCGGCAAGCTCTTCGTGGTGTATTTGATATGCCAAAAACAGTAACAGTGATGGTCCTCATTCCCCTGATCCTGAAAGAGTCCCCAATATGTCATCGGGCTACACTAGCACATGCCAGGGACAAATGGAGACATTACTGGGCCCGCTCGAGCAAATCGATGAACAATGGGAGGACAGTGCTACAGTGCTACCCTTATGAACTCACACCATATTATTAGCTTTTTCAAAGAACTCTAAATGTAAAAACACATACACTGTTTCTTACCTCTTCATCTTTTTCCCTCCAGTTTTTTCACTTTTCCCCCTTTCTTAAACTCTCTGTTAACAGTTGCACCCCCCCCACCTCCAAATGTTGATTATCATTGACAAATGTAGAAAGATTTTTAAGGTCATCAGAGATGGTTAAACATCACTTAAAAGCATTTAGAACAGACCCCAAAGAGAAGATAAAGAAAACTGCAGGCTAGAAGTAGAGTTATTGTTCTTAGGTAAATAAGCACCATATTTCAGTTGTGTGGAGGAATCATTCAGATTTAATTGGCAGGGCTGTACCATATTTAATCCAAACACTAAGAATAAATCAGAGAAGTTTGGCAACATGCGTGGAGCACAGATTTAAGGAATAGAAGTACTGACGTCTGTGTTCAAAAGATTGAATTTAAATAGAATATTATCTCTGGTCAGCTATGGACTTATGTTTAATAACTGTTTCTGTAACTATATTACATGAAGACATAGTTACAGTTAAATAGAGGTTACATATTCTCTTACTACATTTCAGATAAGATAAATTCCTATTAGAGACCTATTCTTTTTGATAAATGCCCCCAACTTGATTGATAAAAATTTTGTAGATAAAAACTTGTGATTCTTTTTATTATGCTGTAGAGATTAAGTTAGAAATGAAGCTTTGCTATGTTTTAAAATATATGTTTCTTTTTGGGGGGTGGCAGTCTGGGGGCTTGGGGTTTGGACCACACCTGACTATGGCTGCTCAGGGCTGACTCCTGGCTCTGTGCTCAGGGCTGACTCCTGGCTCTGTGCTCAGGGCTGACTCCTGGCTCTGTGCTTAGGGATTACTCCTGGCTCTGTGTTAGGGGTCATTCCGGGTTCTGTGCTCAGGGATCACTTCTGGCAGGGTGTAGGGGACCATGTGATTGAACTCGTCAGCCACAAACAAGGTGAGTTTTTTACCTGTTCTACTATCTGTCTGGTTCTAAGTTTCCTTTCTTAAGCCGATTTTTTAATTGAGTGAATAATACAGTACTACGGGAGGCATTATCAGAGCCTCCTCACTCCTCCCAGTGCCCCCAGACCTCCCAGTCCTTCCCTCTGCCCCTGCCCTTGGCCCCTACAGCCCTAATTCTGTTGTCTGAGTCTCAGGGTTTGTTTCCACTGGGGATGGTTTAGCTCCTTTCTTGGTTTCTTTATTGTCCCGTATGCATGGGATCACCTGGCATTAGAGAGTCTTAGGAAGCGCTGGTCACTGTTCCTGCCCTCCCCAGGTTTTCATTTTGCCTTGCTGGTAGTGTGGGCCATCAGATATGGGGCTTGGCCTGCTGCAGGCCGGAGCACTGTGGAGAGCCACTTCTGGAAGCAGGCAGTCCCTGGCCTCGGTTCCTCCGGCCAGCATTCCGCTTCTTCACCATCTCCTGTTAACTCTGTGATGTTTGAAAAATGGCCGTGAGATTTTCAATGAAGTTATTTAGTGTCGCTTAACCTCAGCTTTTTAATCTGTCAAGTGAGAATGACAATTTCTATGTCATGGGGATATTTGGATGAAAGGAAACTTTCAGTTTCTATTAATAGCTGCAACATAGTGGGCCACTGTCACCGTGAAAATGCCCAGTGACCAGCTCTCGTCGTCCAAGTGTGCTCTATCCTGGCTGGGACAAAGACCTGAAGTCAAAGCAGTCATTTTTGAGTCGGGGCCGCCGTTTGTGCAGGGAGATGAGCCTGAAGAGAGAGGCAGACATGGGAGTCTGTGTGCTACTTAGAAGGGAGGGGATCAAGTGTGCCAAGAGAGACTGGGCACAGGAAGAGCTTTGTAATAACAGCAATTTGCATCTACGAGCCCTTCCTGTGTGGGCCTGTCTTACAAGGATTAAAGGAGATCCTCTGATTAGATAACATTGTTCTTCCCATTATTAGTTTACAGAATGTGGAGGCATTAGATTTTTCTGAGATTATACAGACTGGTGGTCTGATTTACCAGGGACTTTCTGACTGTAGAACTCAAGCTCTTATCGTTATGCCTTTGGGAGGTGGGACGCTAGGTAGGACACGCTGGAGTCTGACTTGATGCCGTTCATAATGCAGAACAATTTGGAGGCTTCAAGCAGAGACATAAATAAAATATGTATGTATGTGTGTCTTAAAAGCATCTCCTCACTGTAGCTTATACAGGAGAGGTGTGGATAAGGCCCCTGGAGATGCAGTTAAAAATGCTTCATCTCCTACGGAGGCTGCATACTAATGTCAAAGCTAAAGTGGTTACTTAACCTTTCTCTGGTGTCCTCATTTATTAAATGGCAGTGATAATAGCCCCCACCTCACAGGACTAGGAAACAACCAGATCGCATAGAAACGTGCGTCGTAGATTAAGTTGCCAAATTGCCCCGTCTTGATCAATCTCTGGGCTGAAAACTCATTGGCTTCTCAGCCCAGCCGCCCCCACGCCCAGCCATAAATGGCCCAACCTCATGCTCCTGGAGCGCCTGGCTGACACCTCCCCCTTTCCACTGCTCTGACAGCCCGGTAGGAGCACAGCAAATTTGATGGGAGGTCGCCTAAACGCCCTCTGAGCTCAGTCACGGCATCAAAACACAGATGGTGCCTCGATACCAGCCGGTGCAGTCTGTCTCAGACGGGGCTAAGTGGCACCACCGTGAGAGGGCATGGGTATCAAAACTGACCTTATTGACCTGTTTTCTGATAATTTGCTGGTTTGTTGTAACAACCAATATGAAGTGAATTTGCCTGCAAAGGGGGCAGTCTTGACAGGGGCTCTGGAAAACTGGGGACCCTGGCAGTGGGATTGGTGTTGGGCCATTAAATATCCAAAATGTCTGTTAAGAACAACTGTATTTGTAAATCATGGTGTTTAAAAAATTAGAGAAAAGAAACATAAATACTCAAAATACTCAGCATGATGATCGTGATGATAGCTTGAACCTTGAAGAGAAGCTTGAATTCTAATTTAAACATTTTTTTTCTTAAAATTTTATTGAATCACCGTGAGAAAGTTACAAGCTTTCATGTTTGGGTTACAATCACACAGTGATCGAACACCCATCCCTCCATCAGTGCACACTCCCCACCACCAATCTCCCCAGTGTACCCCCCTTCCCCAACCTTCCCCTGCCTCCATGGCAGACAATATTCCCCACACTCTCTCTCTACTTTGGGGCACCATGGTTTGCAATACAGACACTGAGAGGTCATCATGTTTGGTCCATTATCTAGTTTCGGCACACATCTCCCATCCCGACTGATTCCTCCAGCCATCATTTTCTAAGTGATCCCTTCTCTATTCCATCTGCCTTCTCCCCTCCACTCATGAGTGGCTTAGAAAGGAAATCAAAGAGGAAATCAAAAGATTCCTGGAAACGAATGAAAATGAGGACACGAGTAAAAAAAATTTCTTTATATAAGTTTTATTATAGAACTTACAGAAGTGCCTTTGTCGGCTCTGTATCATGTAGACACCTCTGTTCTACTCTCACTCCTGCCCTTTTGCTTTTCCAGTTTATGGGAAAAACAAACGGAGACTATTATACTCTGGACGACATGTTCGTCTCCAAGGCGGCTGAGCGACAACATCTGGGTGAAGAGGAAGAGAATCAGAGGAAAAGGGCCATTGCTGAGCATCGGAGTCTGGTGGCTCAGATGGACAAGTGTTTGTACTGTTTCGACAGCTCCCAGTTTCCCAAGCACCTTATTGTCGCAATAGGAGTCAAGGTGAGGAACAAAACCTTTCGTTTCTTTTTTTGTGGCATATGTAGATTTGTTCTTTTCTTCATCCTCTTCTAGGATCCCAGGAATCCTTCTCTTATTCTGAATAAGAGAAACATTAGATTTTGGACCTAAACCTTGAGTAGAAGCATGAGCTTTATTATTATTTTTTTTTGCTTTGTTTTGTTTTAGATTTGGGGTCATATCTCAGAGTGCTCAGGGGTTACTCCTGGTGGTGTGTGGGGAACCATATGATGTCAGGGGTGGAACCCAGGCCTGCATCCACAAAGCATGCACATCAGCCCTGTGAGCGGTCCCTCCCATGCCTCTCCCACTCCAAGAGAAAAGTATTTTCCCCATCAGTTCCCATGAGTCTTAGAATCTTCTTTAGAGTGGGCTGATATTTAAATGGCGGAAGTTCACACTTTGCATGATTCCGCTCCTTGGAGTATTGGTAGCAGGCAGTGGGTATGTGCCCTATGTCCTTGAATCTGTTACATTTCTAGAATCAACAATGATTTTGAGTTGTAAACATATTTGTGTGTGTGTGTAAACATCCATATCAGCTCCTCATTTGTCCACCCAGCAGTTTTTTAAAATTGCTAATTTTGTTAAGTGAATAAATTCCCTGTAAAATACCTCTGGCTAGGCCCTAACAAAAGTGAAATTAGAGAACTGAGGATGTGGCTTGGTGTGAAGTTTGTGTCTCACATGCATCATCCCTAGCACTGCAAAAAAGAGAAGGAAACTAAGATTTGGTCCATTTGCAAAGTGTCCCCATTCCTTATGAATGTATGTGCTCACTTCTCACGTGCTGACTGCATCCTGCATGTGTAGGTAGGTGTGATTCTAACCCAGGCCATACATCAAATGTTTTTAAAATATATTTTTTGTATACTATAAAAGTAGCACCAGCTTGTAGGTGTGTATACAGAGTTTAACAAAAGCCAGAGAGAGTGCACTTTGTTTCTTTTCTTTTTTTCTTTTTGCCTCCACCAATGAGAGGCGTCGATTACACTTGGTTTCCATTAGTCATCTTGTTTCTTGCAAAAACTTTCTTGGTGCAAGACTATGTATTGTTTCAAGAAGGTCCTGGGACAAATATAAAGTGTTATAATTTTCCTGGGTAAAAACATAGGTGTGAAGCTTTTCTTTACTTTTCTTTTTCTTTTGATGTGAAGCTTTTAAAACTGAGATTTGTGCCATAAATTTCTAGTTTAATGGATGCTGTTCCTCAGGCTAAACGTTAAAGCTAAACATCTTTAAAACACTCCGCCAAGAGATAGTGCTTGCTAGCAGGTCCACCTCGTTCGGTGTTGGCAGTTTCCCTCAGGCTGAGAATAACGCTCAGTATTCTGCCCTCTCCCCCCAGGTTTACTTATGTTTACCTAACGTTCGGTCCCTTACCGAGGGGCACTGCCTCATCGTGCCTCTACAGCACCACCGAGCGGCAACCCTGCTGGACGAAGACATCTGGGAGGAGATGCAGGTCGGTAGGATACCACTCAGGATGCTCTCCACAGGCTTGACGCTGCACGAGTCCCAGCAGGTCTGATGCCTTGGCCGCTGGTGTGACTCCCTAGTGGAAACGCTTTTAGACATTTGCATATCTGCAGCTGTGTGCAGAACGTGATGTTTTCCACTACTTGTTTATTTTATTTCTCTTATGCATCTCCCATTTAGAAAGCTATTCTCTACTCAATTAACTGATAAAATAACTTCTTCTTTTCATCAGGCTAAGATTTTGGATCTGTGCTTATGTGAAGAATGAGATTATCATTCTTACTGCAGTAAGCTAATAAATTAGAGCTGAAATATATTTTCATATACTAAAAGAGAAAGTCAGAAGCCACAGGCTTTATTCAGCAGTTGCTGTATGTCTGCTTGTGGGACTGACTGACCTTCTCTGTTCTTTTTTTTTTTTTTTTTGCTATTTTTGGGGGACGGTATCACAGCTGCCAGTGTTCAGGGGTGACTCCTGCCTCTGCACTCAGGAATTACTGCTGGCGGTGCTCAGGGGACCTTATGGGATGCCGGGGATCAAACCCAGGTCGACCACATGCAAGGCAAACTCCCTACCCACTGTACTATCGCTCCAGGCCCTGAGCTTCTCTGTTCTGATTTTGTTACTAGCTTTCATTTTCACACCTTTAAAAACATAATCTGGCTCAGCTTTTGAATTTAGGGATTTGTTTTTCTGGCTGATTCTTTAAGAGATTGAAAGACACTACATGGGTAAAGTTGCTGTTGAATTACTTTAAGACCTCATAATGACCAAAAAAAGGAAAGAAAAATTTTGCTTTTCTAATGCTTAATGAGAAGTAGGGATACTGGGACCCCCCACACTCAGCCCCTCCATGTCCCCAAGTTAGAAAATGTGAAAAATGTAAGACTTGCAAAAGACTCTATACTACTCTTTTCATCAGGCTGTTAAGAATACCAGAAGAAGGGATGTTTATTTAAGTTCTGTGTATTTATTGAAATTTTGTCATTCTCTGACTCTCTGTGATCTTTATGTTTATGTTCTGCAAGTTTAAACTCCTGCAGACCATTGTAGTGGATGACCTAGCAAGGGTAGGGGACTGTCAGTATTTTTGATGTGGAGTAGGACTTTTTTTTTTTTAGCTGCAGATGCCTATGCCACAAAAGTGGGAAGGGGAAGTGAAGTGGGAAGCATGAGAATGTGAATTTTAGAGTTCCTTTGAAACTTTCTTGGGATGCCTTTCATGTGTGCTGGACACCAGCATATGATTTAGTGGCTCAAATCTTGTGTACTCAAGTATGAGGCTGAGTTTGATCCTGGGTAAAACTGCCCCCATGTGTCACGCATGGTCACAGTGGCCCTGCCCCCGCCCCCCAGCACTGCAGCTGAAGTATGTGGCTGTGTGTCTGTGCTCTCTGGCCACCCTCCCAGCCAGTGGGCAGCTACTGTGCAGCGAGGGGGGGAGGACTGGGGAATGAGTCACACATGCACAGACAGGGCTTAGCATAAAACCGTGTCAGAGAAGCTTTCACGTAATGCAGGAATCAAGGCTGTGGGTGCTATATTTTTGTATGAAATGGAGCTGCTTGGTGAAAGGTATTGAGATGTGTACAGAAGAGAAAAATTCTCTAACTTAGCCAGAGCATGAGACTGTAAGGTAATCTAGGTGTGGGAAATGCAGCAATGGAGACATTGATTCCACCTAAAGGCCTGGCATGTTTTAGACTAGATTACAGTTTAGCAGGTTTTATAAGCCAGACAACATTATAGAAGATTGAGTGAACAGGTAAAACTGAATCCTTTCATATAAATAATGAGAGTATAGCCTTTTCTGTGCATGAAAGTAAAAGACTAGAAGTTGTCATTATTGGGGCTGGAGCAATAGCACAGCGGGTAGGGCGTTTGCCTTGCACGCGGCCAACCGGGGTTCGATTCCCAGCATCCCATATGGTCCCCTGAGCATCACCAGGGGTGATTCCTGAGCGCAGAGCCAGGAGTAACCCCTGTGCATTGCCGGGTGTGACCCAAAAAACCAAAAAAAAAAAAAAAAGAATAGAAAAAAAAGAAAAAAAAGAAATTTTCATTATTGTAAGATAGTCAACAAATAAAATTCCTGAGAGAGACAGGAAGGGTGAGGGGTTTGCCTTGCGTGTAGCTGACTCTGTTGATCCTGGGGATCACTAGGGTCCCCACCCTGGTCCCTCCCTCCGCCCCACCCCACTGCAAGTGAGCCCTGAGCACCACTGGGTGTGGCCCCAGAAACTAGAATAAAATACCTCAATTTAAGAAATGTGCCTTTACATTTTGTAACTGTTTTAAAATTTTCAGAAGTGTGCAACCACTCTGATTATATCCTGGCTAATATCCTTGTGATCTTTCTCCTCTTATAAAGAATATCTTGACCTAGAAAGAAAATGATCAGCACAGGCAGGAGCCACTTATTTCAAGTGATATTTTTAAATCATCTTCCTCTAGTAACATTTAAACTTAAAGCTTCTGTTTAGCAGAAAATTCAAAGATACATTTCAGCACAGCATATGTGCTAATTTCAAATGGATACAATCCAAATTCTTATTTTATTAAATATAGTGTAACTTGGTCCTCTTTCAATTGTGCTTGAACATCCTTCTCAGTTTGGTACATATGCTTGAACATTGTTGTCATCAGACACTGGGCACTTAAAAAATATTTTTTTAAGGTTCGGGTATCCTTTATTTGGAGTGGAGGGGTGTTGGCTGTGCTCAGGGCTTACTCCTGGCTTTATGCTCTGGGATCACTCACGGCAGTGCTTAGGGGGCTACATACTTGGCACAAGGGTTGGCTGTGTGCAGGGCAAACATTTGACCATCTCTCTGTGTCATCTCTCTGGTCATATATCTTTTTAAAAATTGTTACCATGTTTCTTTTGGATAAATACCCATAAGTGGAGCTTGCTACATCATATGGCAGGGTTTTTGGTTTTTGGATGAGTGTCTATATTGCTTTATGTAGTGCATGTATCAATGTACATTTTCATAAATTTAATTTTCCATAGTAAAGTTTTAAAGGTAGAGTGGGTTCTCTGTTTATTAAATTGTAATGTCAAGAATGTTTAAGGCATAAATAACTGTATTACAAAAGTAAGAAAACAGACCATTACTTTCCTTAAGCCTTTCTTTGTTTCAATAGTAACGACATGAGGTGTTCACAACATTTCAAAACATTTCCTTTAGGGCCAGACATAGTACAGCAGGCAGGGCACTTGCCTCGCACCAGCTGACCTGATTTCAGTCCCTCTCACCCTACATAGTCCCCAAGCCCCTCCATGACTGACCCCTGAGGGCCTCTTGCTCAAGTGCCACTGTGGTATTGGTTGACAGATTGGGGCCCAGATGAGGTGGCTCATTCACGGTAAGCCTCTAGTGTCCTTAGTGTGCACTTTTACTTGGGGCTAATCTGACTGTCCAGAAAAGACTCTGGTCTCTTTCCTAGAAAATCGAAGTTTGCTTGCCCATTATTCTGGGAACTGAGCGGGTGAGGAAGGTTGCTGCTGCAGAAGGTTGAGCGTTTTGGAAACTGAGTGGCGTTCCCTGTACCTCTGTTCCCAGCTGTGCCTGGGATGGGCCTCTCCTGGGGCTGATTCCATGGTGTGCTGCTGGCATGGAGAGGAGGTAGTGTGCTGCACGCCTTAAGCCCTGCCACATCCCACCCGCCTCGGAACCACCCCCTAGTGTACTTGCTGGATGCTGTGGGACAGTCCGGGTTTCCCAAAGTTCTCTCCTCTTTAGCCAAGTCTAGTACAGCCTCTCTGCCCCCTGCCCCCATGTTGTTTTTGATGAATCATTCCATGATTTTTATGTTTTGCTAGATCTCATATCTACATCTGGGGATATTAAGAGTTTTTTTTAGTTTAGAGAACCTGAATAAATTATGATTTTATTTGTACATGATCAACCTAGGATAGCTTGTATATTTTTGTGGAAAATAATTTCAAAATCCTGTGTAGGGCCAGAGAGATGCCCTATGTCAGAGGGCAGAGCCAAAGAGATGCTGAGTGGGAGGGGCCGAGGTGCTGAGTGGGCAGGGCCAGAGAGATGCTCAGTGGGCAGGGCCAGAGATGCTGAGTGGGCAGGAGCGCAGGCTTGCATGCAGGATGCCCAGGGATTCAGTTCCACCCCGACCACCACCTGGTCCCCTAAGTACCTTTGGGAACAATCCTTGAGGAAAAGCTGGAAGTAGCCCCGAGATCCACCAGGTGTGGCACTCAGATCTCCTCGTTTAATGTTTTCTTAATGAAGAACTATGATATTTATAATAGAAGTTTTAGTCTAGTTGTCTTAGCTCGGTGAGGAATGGCAATCAGGTGAGTAATCCTAGATCAGAAGTGTGGAAAGGAGTGGGCTTCTAAAGGGCGAAGTGTTTGCTCTTAGGGAGATGGGAGTATCATGTGCCCCTGAATCATGGGATCTCTGTAGCTGTCTGAAGCAAAAACGAGGGTGCTAAAGAGATAGGACCGCGGGTAAGGTGTTTTCCAGCTGGGGTTTGATCCCTGGAACCCCATATGCCCCCCTGGACCCCATCAGAGATTTCTGAGTTCAGAGCCCAGTGTAAGCACTGAGCACTACTGGGTATGACCTAAGACAAAAAAACAAACAGTAATTCATCTATTTAGTAGGACTCCTTTATTTATGGAAATAGGGGACTGCTTGGATGTATTAAATGTTGAGTGAATGACATGCAAAGAACCACCAGGTGAAGATGCTCTGAGGACAGGGAAACAGTTCAAAGTAAATTACAATTGAAGGCTGCTCCCTGCTAGAGAACCAACCATTTTGGGCATCTAGATGTTTTCTCTATCAGTTTTGCCCATTTTTCTATTTAAATTTGAGTTTTATCTCATTTTCTCATTTCAGTTTACCAGAACCATTTCCAACAAATGTATAACATGTGCAGATTGAATTTCAGGTGATTTAAAAAATGTGAAATGATGTGGTAGATTTAGAAAATAAAGTAACTATAAGGTAAATTATAAGAATTCAGACACTGTTTACTATTTTGTTTTTCTTTTTAATTTTGAAAGGATTTATTGTGCTTTTTTAGTTTTTCATATTTTGACTCGAGCCTTTCCCAAGTGCTTTCCTTCAGATCTCCTCTAAAAGCTTCATCTGCCAAGCTTTTTCTTTTTCTTCAGATGTTCAGAAAGTCATTGGTAAAGATGTTTGAAGATAAAGGGTTGGACTGCGTCTTTTTAGAAACTAATATGAGCATGAAGAAACAGTATCATATGGTATATGAATGTATTCCTCTCCCCAAGGAAATGGGTGACATGGCTCCCATCTATTTTAAGGTATTTCTAGTTTTGCATACATATATTTTGCCACACTACTGTTGTCATCTTGTATTTTTTTTGTTACATACTTATAAAGAAAACATGAAAAGTTCTGTTGTGTTAATTTCTAGAGAATGAAATTTGAGATCTTCACCATTTAAAAGCATGCTTAATTATAAGTATCAGCATACTATCAAATATATATGTATGATTTTCTCATTTCTCAAGTGAAATTAGTGCTTTGCCTAGACGTATACATTCAAGTCAGAAGTATATCGATAGAAAGTTTATCATTGAAGTAAACTGGGAACAAAGCTAAGCTGTACCCCAGCTCCATAACTTGCATTCGCTGAGACGAGTTATTGCAGTAACTAGCATTGAATGTCATCGTGGTATTCTTGAAAAGAAACGAACCTTGATGTGTACTAGGGACAAGGAATAAATGACTATAGAGCTCCTAAAGTCATTTTTTCCAGCTGCTTTTCCCCCTAAATTGCATGGTTTGATACTGACCAAAATGCAGTACAATTTACAGACCAACATAAAGGCATAAATGTAGAGCCGTATGTGAAATAACAAAATGCAGTGAAGAAAGATGATGTTTTGTGGTGTAGGAAGGTGGTGAGGTGGTGAGGGAAGATTTGCAAATGGACCATTTAGACAGTGTACAATGGTAACATTTATTCGCGTCAACTCTGAATCTCAATAGTAAGGATTATAAAACCTGAAATGATTCACCAGAAGAATCTTCTTTCTCTAGAAAATTTCAGACTGATTATTTGAGTTGAGGAGTCATGCTGTTAATGAATTAGAAGACAAATCAGCTTTCCCTTTGCCAGTTGCATGTTACGCGAAATCTATTGAAAAGCTGTATTTTTGTTGTTGTTGTTGTTGTTTTCTTGCATATTCTCAGTAGTATCTTGAATAGTTGTGGCTAGAGGCTAGAACATTTAAGGTAGAGAATATGTGTCTCAGTCATAAAGTTTTGAGATGAAGTTAGTATGAGTTGAAAATGAGTAAAATAATGATATCTTGACTAAAGATAGGACTTGAAAAAAAATCCCGAAGTTCTAATGCTAAGTAACAGAAATTAAAGCCTTAATCAATTCAAAAGAATGGTCTACCAAGTGTAATGTACCCTGTAATTAATTTACTATTTAATTTTATTTTAAACCATTTCTTATGTTTGCTTTCATGTTTTTTTTTAATAAATGACTATTTCTTAGAAAGCGATAATGGAATCCGATGAAGAGTGGTCTATGAACAAGAAATTAATTGATCTCTCTTCAAAAGATATCAGAAAGTCTGTAAGTATCATGTCTTTTAAATATAAGAACTTTAGGGTTCCGGTTTTTCATTGAATTTCCACATCTTATTTGAGAAAAGATTGTTACTGAGGTGAAGTAACTAATTCTGCAATTAAAGAAGTAGCATCCTTCCACCTTACTCAGATTAGCAAATGCTCATTTGCGTGCCTGCTCTGATCCTTTGACATTGTCCCCTGATTGGCTTTGACCCAGAATGCTCAGGGACTAGCAGAAAAGAGACTTACTTCCCTCCCTCCCTCCCTTCGTCCGTCCCTCCCTTCTCCCTCCCTCCCTTCTTTCCTTCCTTCCTTCTGGGAACAGATCGACGGCTTCCACAGGTGTGACTGGTGCTCTTCCACTCAGCCCTACCCACAGGCTGAGAGCAACCTTCGTTTACAAAGAAATTATGATGAGAGGAATATTTTCCAAGAGGCTTTGATTTGAATTTGGAACTTTAAAAACACACTCAAGATTTCTTATTAATGCCCCTTTAAGTCATCATTAAGGTAGAGTATGGGCTTATTATTCTGTGATGTAATTAACCATTCAGTTTTGATTTACAGACCCACTTTTAGATCAGGGTACACAGAGCTTGAATTCTTCTGTACTGCCCTCTGTCTTTTCTAGAAATATAAATTAAATGGAATAAAATTCTATTATTAGAATGGTTGTTCCTTTCTTTTTTCTAATTATAAAAGTGATTTAGTCTACAAAGGCTTCTTGACTACCTGCTATTTATCTGACACTGTTTTCGGTGGTTTTCATACAAAGTGGAACAAAGCAAAAGATCCTTCACTTTATAGAGCTTACCTCCAGTGCAGGTGCTGGATCTTATTTCTTATGCCACTAAATATTCTTTCTGAACATGAGTGAATAGCAATGAAGGCATTTCGCAGTAGGGCCCAGAGCGACAGTCCAGAGGGCAAGGTGCCTTATCTTGTACATGGCCAACCCAGGTTTGATCCTTGGCATTGTGTATGGTCTTCCAAGTACCACCAGAAGGACCCCTGAGCACAGAGCCAGGAGTAAGCCCTGAGCAGCACTGAGTGTGACCCAAATAATACACCCCTTCAATAAGTGAATTGTGCATTTGCTACACTCTGTATGACTGACTGTAATTTTCTGCCGGTAAACAAGTGACAGTATATCTTAAGTGCATGTTGAAATTTGTACAAGTGCCAGAATGCAGAGCCTTGTGCAATGGCAGCTGAGTATTCAGCTTTGAGATATTTCACTTACAACAGCGACTGCCTTTTGTAAGTCACCACATACTGTGTTCTGTGACTCCTTGAGGGTTGAAGTAGAAAGGGTGTGCAGCTGATGACTTCTTGAGGCCCATCTGAGCTTTGATTCATAACTGCATGAATGGAACTGTGAAGAGAAGTTGAGTGTAATTCCAAAGGTGATCACTTTTTTTGTTTGTTTTTTTTTAGGTTAATGGCTGTCTAGTGCTTTTTAAAAATATAGAGTGTTGAAGTGTAAAATGAACAATCTTGAGTTATTTTAATCTTAAATTTATTCTGAAAGAACTGCATTATGCTGTTTTTAAAATTTTTATTACTTTTATTATCATGTGAGTGGAGTAAGCCAGAAGAAGGGCAAACACAGTTGGAGCTCACTTATCAGTGATGTATAGAATAATTGGTTGAGGAAGTGTCATGTGGTAAAGGGGGGTGCCTTGATCACCCTTGACCCCAGAGTTTAGGGAGGCAAAGGAAAGATGTCGGGGGTGGGGGGAGGAAGAAGACGAGAAGGAGAAGGAACGGGGGCTTGGGTAATACTGATGATGGAGGAGAGCCATATACCCAGAGCACAGACTCGGCACACTGAGAACATGAGGTCTTAGCTGCAAACTTTGTACTCTGCCTGTCAAGGCGGCAGGCGGGGATGGGGTGAGAGGTGGGAGTGCACAGGGAATATGGGCACGATGGTGGAAGGAAATTGACCCTAGTGGTGGGGTTTGTGTTGAAATATTATATGCCTAAAACTCAACTCTCAATGACTTTGTAAATGAATTTACAAATATTTAGATATTTTAATTAGATATTTTTAAAGACTTTATTACCTGTTTTGATTTTTAGTCCACACTAGGAGAACTCACAGGCTATTACCAATGGTGCATGGGCGACCCTGTGGTACAGGGGTTGAATCTGGTGCCCCCTCCTGCAGCACATGCAGCTCAGCCCTGTGAGCACCTCCCTGGCCCTGTGCCACCTCTTTTGAACTGTGTTACTGGGGCTACCGAGTATTTTGCCTGCTTCATGTGGGTAGGATGCCTGTATTCTGTCAGAGTAGATCCTTAAGTCGCTGACTTCCCTCACCACCTGGCAGCTTTGTGAACAGTGCTCTGCTTTCTCGGAGGCATGGAACCAAGTGTAACAGGAAATATTGGCAGGAATGCCACCACTTTTGGTCTCTCTATGATGTCACAGCCCAGTGGTAGCCATCAGTGGTAGCCATCACCCGTGTCACCGTGTTAAATGACATAAGAAATGTGGTTATTTTTCACATGATCACTTGAGATTTCATGAACTTTTAAAAGTTAATTCTTCAACTTTTTATTTTTCGTTGGGTGGGGAGAGGCTTAGACCAAACCCAGTGGTGCTCAGGGACTAGTGACTATGCTCAGAAGTGACCCCTGACTGTGCTTGGGGACTAAATGTGGTGCTGAGTACCAGACCAGGGTCAACCACGTGCAAGGTAAGCACCTGAGCGCTTTCTCTCTCTCTCCCCGCCCCCCTTTCCCTCACCCTTCCTCCCTCCCTCCCCCCTCCCCTTGGCCCCTCCTTCGAACTTTCAAGTGTGATTTTTGGTTAGAATATTTTGCTCATAGTAGCAATTCAACCACATTTAGCACCAGTGGAGGGCTATTTTTTAAACTACGGAAAGTCTATCTTAAGGAAAATTTGCATTTACTCTAAGATCTTCAAACACATGAACAATGAAAGAAGTCGGAGGAACAACCTGGAATAAAGGGAGAATTCAGATACTACTGTTCTTCTACCATAAATTCTTTTATTTAAAATTAAAACAATTTTAAGGCACCGGGGGTTACAAAGTTGCTTGTGATCAAATTTCAGGCATACGGCGTTCTCATACCAGTCCCGTCACTGTGCTCAAATGCCCTTCGCCACTGTCCCTCGTTCTCCCAATCTCATAAATAATGTGTCTTTTAGACTTGCCATTTTGCCAATGGCTTGCAGAATGGTACCGAATTTCCAGGTCCTAACTTACTGGCCTCCAGCGGAGGCGCACACACTTTGGGTCTGTGCCATGCTGACTCAGCGGTGAGTGCTCTTCCAGAGAGGGGAGACTAGAGGAGTATACAGGCAGCAGAAAAGGTAGAAAAGGTGTAACACGTTCACTGTGCCTTCTGTCTGGGCTGTGAGGCCACAGTACCTGGGTATGGCTACTGGTCACCCATTGCTGCGCCAGCAGCTCACCATAGCCTCCGTGGGACATTGGAGACCATCCTCAAAGTCTGTGACTGAGTCCTTCTGCATCATGAGAGAAATGCTCTTCTCGTTTCATGCCTCGAAGGAAATCATTGACCTTCCTCCCTTGTTTCTCCAAAGACAGGAATGTAATGAAATGTTTTACACTGAAAGGTCCTTTTCCAAGTATCTCTGGAATTGGAAATTCACTGTGTCCTAGTTTCTCCCGGGGGTTGTTTCGTTGTGGTCACGGGGAGAGGCCCGAGCATATGTCTGACTGAGTCCTTTCTGTAGGTCCCCCGAGGCTTACCTTACTTCTCTGTGGATTTCGGCCTCCAAGGAGGGTTTGCCCACGTCATTGAAGATCAACACAAATTCCCTCATTACTTTGGCAAGGTATGTTCCCCAATTTAATCAAATTCCAGAGTTTAGCATCTTGGTAATAATGTTTTTTTGTTCGTTTGTTTGTTTCTTTTGTTTTTTTTTTTTGAAGGGAACTCAAAATTTTGAGCACAATATACAGGGAAGGTGTGGTAAGGACTGTTGGTCCCAGATTTTATAGGGAGAATCTAGAAATGACTAATAAAAAGATACTAGAATGCAGGTTTTTGGTTGGACTGCCGGTGTTCAGAGCTTACTCCTGGCTCAGTGCTTAGAGGTCACTCATGGTGGTGCTTAGGGGACCGTAAGTGCTACCAAGGATCGAATCAGGTTCAGTGGCACAGAAGGAAGCACCTATTCCCTGCACCTCTCTCAGCCCCCTAGAATGTAGTTCATTGTTGTTATTTTAGTTTGTTTTAGGGTTATACTCGGTGCTTGGGGGCATGATGCTTGGTTGTCAGTCCAGACAGTGTTGAGAGTGACTGGGCAGGGGGGACACCAGCATGCAAAGCATTTGTTCCAGCCATTGAAGCTCTAGGGCCAGTCCAAAAATTGAGAGAGAGAAAGAGACAGCGAGAGAGAGACACACACACACACACACACACACACACACACACACACACACACACACACACACGAGAGGGAGGGGGAGGGGGAAGGAAGGGATAGAGGGAGGGAAGGAGAGAAGAGAGAGAGAGAGGAGAGAGAGAGAGAGTGTGTGTGTTTTAGTAGGGATCAAACCCAGGGCCTCACATGTGTGAGGCAAGTGCTCTGTTGCCAAGTAACCTTAGTCCAAAAGAATGTTAAAGACAGATGTGCGGCTTTGGCCTCAGACATCTGTTGCTTACCTGGCTCCATGCCGTCAAACCCTGGCACTAACCCTAAACTTGTTCTGTTTCTCTCGCCATTGTCTCTGTTCGCCCATAAAGGGAAACAGTTCTTTCTCAGCAAAGGGAAAAGTTCCTTTTCCTGAGGCTTTTCTTTTTTACTTCTTCTTCTTCTTTTTTTTTTTTTTTTTTTTGCTTTTTGGGTCATCTGGAGATGCACAGGGGTTACTCATGCTCTGCACTCAGGAATTATTCCTGGCAGTGCTCAGGGGACCATGAGGGATGCTGGGAATCGAACCTGGATGGACCGCGTGCAAGGCAAACGCCCTACCCACTGTGCTCTCGTCCCAACCCCTCCTGAGGCTTTTCTTGGTTGATCCAGCAGATCAAATCCCGGAAGGGAGTCCAGGATGGTGCTTTGACAGGAGCTTCTCCTCCTCCCCTCTCAGGAAGTTCTGTGGTAGCCACAGACGACTGCAGCACAGGCATGTGCTGTCCCTTTGCCCCGTCCCCTCTGACACTGGTTGCGTCCCTGCATGGGGGGGCCCTTGTTACCGTGTTAAGCTGCCACGTGGGTCATGGAAGAAAATGTTCACGGGTTCTATAGAGCCGGATCAAAGATGCTGGATTTGTCTTATTCCATCTTGTTAATTTTTTTATTCCAAACTGCCCCCCCACACACCAAGTTTTATAAATCTTGCCTATATTTTTCTCTACAGGGCTATTCAAAGCCATAAATTTGATTAATTTCTGTAGCTAACGGCACAGGGAGAGGAGCCTTAAAGAAATAATCTGGAATAATAATTAGACAAGTCAAAAATCCACTCCTTTGAAGATTTGAGAGTGTGAATTTTTAAATTAAGCTTAGCTGTAATTTAATTTTCCATATACTTAGCTTAGTATTAAAATACATTTTTTTAACCTGCAAAAAAAAGATCTCCAGCTATAAATGTAGGAAAAATTAACTCAGAAAAACACTATGTATCAGAGAGCATATTAGCCCTGAGACTCACGTGCATTGAGCAACACAGTTAATAACTTTTTCTACAAACTGTTTACCAGAGCAGCTAATAAAGACCAAAGTAATTAAATTTCACTTTCTGTTTTTCCTCTTTGCTGCTCTATAGTAGGTATGCAATTAAGTGGCAACTGGACATAAATACACAGAACCTGGAATCACAGAACCTGCCTAGTTAGAACTAATGGAAAACAAGATTATTTAAATTAATATTTATGGAATATTTGAAAACCCTCAGGTAGATGAATTCAATGTTATTTTAGTAGCAGAGTAGACCAAGTGTCATTCCCGTTGTCAGGATTTACCATCTGTGTGTCTGTCTGTTTCTCGTTCTTTGAAAGGAAATCGTTGGCGGGATGTTGGACCTAGAGCCGAGACTCTGGAGGAAAGGGGTTCGGGAGAGCTTCGAGGACCAGAGGAAGAAGGCACTGCAGTTCGCTCAGTGGTGGAGACCTTTTGACTTCACCAAAAGTGAAAAATGTTAAGTTTTTTGTTTCCTCCTCAGATGCTTTGGTTTGATTTCTGCTGCATCTTCCTAAGCACTGAGGTGTAGCTCCTGGGGGGGGGCCAGGCTCCAGGCTCTGCCATGTCCTTCCCCACCCACCCCTGGAGTAAGGCCAGCCGCATCAGTGACCTGCCCTGGTGAAACCTTTTCATTTACGACACCACAGGATGCTCCTGAAGGTTACCTAGGAACTAGAGCAAAGCACTGCCTGCAAGGGGGTTGGTGGCTTTGCTTCATTCAGTCTGTTGACTTTTTAAAACTGAGTTGGTATATTCAGGAATCATGGAAATTTCTATAGAAAAACTCTTCCTTTTCTATGTGTGTGTGTGTGTGTGTGTGTGTGTGTGTGTGTGTGTGTACTCTCTTTATTCAAGGAAATCATTTGTCCCAAATTTAATAAAAATTAAATTAAGTATGATGTTCTTATGATTCATTTATTTTGATTTCTGGATCTTTACTGTTTTTGAATGTAGGTAATTTTTTTTTAAGGTTTTGTTCCAATTGACACAGTTTACAATTATTTGCAGCTTGCAAGAAGACAGATCATCATTTTGAGGGTAATTTGATAGTGATAAGACCATAAGTAATGTGAGAATCCTGATTGTCAGGAGCACATTTCTTGTCTCCTCTTGATCTGGGGTTCTCCATGTCTTTGTTGCTGTACTCAGCATCAAGAGAAGACCACACACATGCTTACACAAATGAGTCAGAGTGTGAGAGAAGATCTGGAGCTGCCCTCATGCTTGGCCCAGGAGCTCAATGCTGCTCAGGATCAGCAATTCTGGGGTACACTAGGGCCACCCCAGCAGTGCTTGGGGTGCCATGTAGTGGTGGGGTTCCAGCTTGGAGGACCTCAAGGATGTGAGGCATTCACTCTAGCTCTTTGAGCTATCTCCCCATTCCCATCTCTGTTTGCATTGTTTGCTTGGGTGCCACACCCAGCAGTGCTCAGGCATGACTCCTGGCTCTTTTTGCTCAGGGATCACTCCCACAGGGGGCCCAGGGACTATACCGGGTGCTGGGGAATGATCCCAGCTTGACAGCATGCAAGACAGGCACCTTACCGCTGTACCATCTCCCCACCTTCAGCCCCAACCCCATCTTTGAAATGTCTATACATAGGGGCCACAGTTAGCTGTGCCCAGTGGGTTTGGAGCTGAATCTCAAGTTTCCCTATGAAACCATGAGTGCCTACAATCATAATAAATCGCATGTCTGCATAGTTACTTCTGAGATTGGCACACCATTCTTATCTTAAGCGTAGTACAAAAAGAAAAATGTGTATGTGCTAATAGTTTTTAAATGTCACAAATAACTTGCAGTTCAATGAGGTAAGTTTCTTATTTATAAATTACATTTAAATATGTTTATAAAACTTCTATTGAGTGTATTTATAAATATTCTGTGGTGTTTTATTCATTACTGTTTTCAAATTATTTTGGTTTTGCCACAAAATCTGGGAGGAAGGTATATATTCATTTATTTAATTGCTGAGCTAATACTGTTTGCAGGTCATTTTATTTGGTCGCAGTACTGTAGAAATTAGTTTCTCTACACAGTTTATTTGACAGCTTAGAGGGAAACGACACAAACATAAGTAATTACTGCATGGTGTAATTCTAAAGAGAGACATGTGCCACATCTATTCAGGGCTGTGCTAAAGAGCTGCTCTACACCTCTGGCTTCTTTCTTAGCGAATGACCTTGCTTCCCCTTTTGCCAAGAAAACAAACAGAAGAATATTTCCACCTCTGCTATCAGTATACATGTGTCTGTGCTCATATACTCTTTTCTGCCTTTTTCTCACCACAGGTAATTTATTTTTGTGATCTGTCACTGACTAGAGACCACATTTATGTTCCGGGTTTCACCTTCTCTTACCTACTTAGTTACCCCAGTACCTTGCATAATTAGGGTATGATTAGGACATCCCCTCTCTCTAAGATGATGATTCTTAACACTCTGACCGCTTTTCAGTGTGTGAACATAAAGCCTCCCATCGTATCCTCCAGAGTCATTTTTCTTCTCCATTTGACAACAAAGCTCATTTGAAAATCAAATCAGGTTCCAAGAGATAGTACAGCAAGTAGGGCATATTTGCCTTGCACGTGGCCAGTCTGTGTTGTATCCCTAGCATCACATATAGTATCCCAAGCACCCCTGAGTGCAGAACCAGGAGTAAGTCCTGAGCACTGTGGATGTGGCCCAAAAAACATACAAATGAACAAAACCCGACAAATGACTTTAAGGTACTTAGAGTTTAACAAGAATTCCGGTGGAACAAACAAAATCTCCAAAAATTGTTTAAAAGTTAAATGTATTTAATGTGTATCCTTGTCTGGAAAACTGCCTGATAAGAGAGTTGTAAATATTGATTTTCCTTCTGAGTACTCCCTGTTAGGTTTTTGGATGGTATACCTGATTCTGTAAAATGATAATCTGGTGTAAATCCCACTTGCCCTAGTAGTGGAATTTTCCTGAACATGAAGTCTTATTTGGGTCAAGGTTTGCATTTGTGTTGTACTTACTATACTTGCTTCTTAATATGCAATTTGAGTTTCACTGCAGTGATGCAGTATTTCAAATATCTAATCAGATTTCCTGCCTAAATATAACAAATTAATCATCTGTTTTGAATGTAACTCAGGGGAATGAGGTAAAAGGCATCATTGAAATTTATTAAATTATTAGCTGGCATTTTTCAGAATTTTTGTACGATATATTTATAATATTCAAAGAATTGGGTTTTTTGTAAGCAGGAAATAAACTGCTTATTTTAGACTTTATTTAAACATTTCAAGCTATTATAGTCTGTTAAGTTTTATCTATAGATTTTAAGTGAGAGTCAAAAAGTTCAAATCAGCAAGTCAATTATTATTAAGAAATTTGAATGCCTTTAATATTCTATCAAAGCTTTTTTTTTTTCTCAAGGGATTTACTCTAACAATCTTACAATCTAGTCTTTTCATTCAAAGGCCAGCTTTCCCTAAGGCATATTCTCTATGTGTAGTTGTAGCACTTGGACTTAAAGTGTGTCCTAGCCCCCAAAGAGCAGACATAGAGTTAATGCCGACCGTGCTTTTATTGAACTATGGGGTTTATCCCATCATAGCACAAGAAAACATGAAATAAAAGTGCAAATAGTAACTATTAATGAGGAAAAATAGGTGAATAAATAAGTAATGAAGACTTTTAGCTATACCGTCAATACTTAACTACCTCCCTTTTGGGACAAATACGTGTTTTGGATTTTAAAAAAAAAAATTTAATTTAAAGCCCCATGATTTGCAATACTGTTGATGACAGAGCTTCATGCATTTAATGTTCCGGGACTCGCCCATGCCCACTCCCAACCACCACCTCCTCGCCCACACCCTGCCTTGTAAGCTCAGTTTCCAAGCCCAGTTCTCTGTTGTCTTGGATCATTTGTTCCTCCCATTCTGTGCTTTCATGTACTCCGCATTTGGAGAGAGCATTCTTTGTCTTTCCCTCTTCAAACTGAAGACACTCAGCATTCACCGAGTGGCAGGTTACATGATTGCAGCTTTTCCCTTCTAGCCGAGTAGTATCCCATCCTGTTTTATACCACAGTTTCTTCATCCATTCAGTTCTTGGCAGTTCTTGGATTGTTTCCTGCTCTTGGCTAGTGTGAACAGTGTGCAGTGAACATAGGCACACCAGTATCTTTTTGATAGATGTTTTAAATGCATGATCATGCCATCACTGGTGTTCAGTGTTGTTAACATTGAATGTTAACACGAGGCTGGAGCGATAAGCGGTAGGGCATTTGCCTTGCATGTAGCCAACATGGCCGACCCGAGTTCGATTCCTCCGCCCCTCTCAGGGAACCCGGCAAGCTACTGAGAGTATCTCGCCCGCACAGCAGAGCCTGGCAAGCTACCCGTGATGTACTCGATGTGCCAAACACAGTAACAACAAGTCTCATGATGGAGACATTACTGGGCCCGCTCGAGCAAATCGATGAACAACGGGAGGACAGTGACAGTGACAGTTGTTAACATAGCTTACTGGCCACATCTGAAGAAACTCAGCTTCTCTGAGCTTCCTCCCAGCAGGTATGAAGTAGTGATGCATGAGCTTCCGTATTGACTGGTAAATCTTTTGCGTTGTCTACTTCCCCCTCTGATGGAGGGTCACTAGGAGCCATGTGAAAGTTTGCTTTGGATGCATATTCAAACCAGTGCCCTTGTTATGATCCAAAGTGCAATTTCCTTAAATTCCACATTCAGTGTTTCTAACAGAATAAGATTAATTACTTTCCCTTTCCCATCCAGTGTGGTGTATGGCCCCCCTCTATGTCACATGAGGTAGTAATTATTTTAATAGGGCAGAAAAATTGTTTAAAGCTGAATCCACTCATTATCATTCGGAATGATATGATTATCATTATCATCCAGATCATCAAACAAGTGGACAGTGGTGTTGAAATAAGGCATTGACATCAAGGGCACAAAGGGAGTGTCCAGCTACTTCTGGCAGAAGAGACAGGGAATAGAAGAGCCCATTGTGGTATGGCTTCCTAGTTCATTTCTGGATAAGAGAATGAAAGAAAGCAATGATAAAGGACAGTGCTGGAACAATTGGCAATTGGATTAAGGACTGTGTCTTAGATGAGAAAATATTTGGGAAGTGGGAGCCATAAGGACTGTGTCTTAGATGAGACAATATTTGGGAAGTGGGAGCCAGAGAGGTAGTACAATGGGCAGAGTGTTTGCCTTGCAAGCAGCTGTCCCAGGTTCAAGCCCCAGCATCCATGTGGTCCTAGGAGCACTGCAGGCGCAGAGCCAGACGTAAGCCTTGAGCATTGCGCCCTCCCCCCACAAAAGCACCTGGGAAATGAATATTGCAATTCGGAGAGAATATTCCAGTGGATAAACAGTATAAAGTAGCGTTAGTTCAGTTGTTATCAATCATACCAGACTCAATTCTCATTTTCTTAATAGTTTTAATGCTATTTTACTGTCTGGATAAAATCCAGATACAATATAATCTACTTACACATTTTGTTTTTAAAAATCAATATAATTTTCTAACTGTAACAAAAGGATAAATGATGTTCTTCAGTGGCTTGATTCTTGGCACAAATACCCTTTAGAGTAATGCCCGCACAGACTTCCAGAATCCTTCCTTTGGTCGGAACTGCCACTTTTGTGGACTGGGCTTGGGGTTTGCTAAGGTCATGGGGGGTTGCCTGCCCCAAGACATCACTGGATCAGAAACCTGACAGAATTCGTTGCTTGGATGGTGAAGACTCATGGACACCTCAGACACTTTGAGTCACATTTCCATTTCCCTGAGTTTTACTTTGGTGTTTGGGGCTGTATTAGGAAGGAAATTGTGGGTGCCTGAGT